TGCTACAAACAGAAACTTCCACTTTGCTCAATATTCTGGAATAACCTAAATGAGAAAAGAATTTGAAAAAGAAGAGATAAAAGTATATGTTTAGTTGAATCACTTTGTAATCCTACAACTACACAACTTTGTTAATCAACTATACTCCAATATAAAATAAACTTAAAATTTTAAAAATAAATTAAAACAAAACAGGAACTTTTAGGGAAATGTTTAGCAGTCTTGGCGACTTTTGGGAGCGTGGATATTACAAATGCATCGATTCAATTATGGCCTATTTAACACACATCACATGATCACTAGATTTCCATTTCTACAAAAAGTGTGCAATTTACATGTACAGCAAAACTTTAGCACCAAAAACTTTGAAAAAACATGAAGTGGAAGAGAATGCCCAGAACATATGTAAGAAATAAATTTTAGGAAGGATGAAATAAGAACAGACCAAGCTAGGATCCCAATGGCCAAGATAGGCATCTACAAAATGCAACAAAGAGGAAAGCTTAGGGTTGGCCACTAGCATCTACTTACAACTATTCACAAATGATATATAGTCCCTGAAGCTTCACACAGATCTTTGTACTGTCTAATCACCTTTTAGAAGTAATCACCAAGTATATCAGATTAAGCATAAAAGATAAGAAGAGTTGGTAGGAGAAGAAAAGTTACCATAAAATAGAAGGGGGTTTTCCCGGTCACCTCTTGTGAAAAGCAATATTCATCATTACATAACAGTACTTCACTTCTTCAACTTCCTCAACTATCCCAAAGAGAGCGGAGAACCAGGAGGAAGTTAAAAAAAAAAACCCTAAACAACAAAAATAATTGTCACAAAGGTCTTTCATGACAACTTACAGACTAACAGGAAAGTCCCTTGAGTCTTTGGGCAGAGATCTTTACTTCTGGACAGTATTCTGAGGATTGTGATGACCTGTGCTGCTTCAAATACAGCTTTGAAGCGGCAACCTGAGAATTGTAGGGGGAGTGGGTAGGGACATACTGTCCAGAGGAGGAGAAAGTTGGCACTGAAAATGACAGAAAAGCCACAAATACAAGATACACATACTCAGTGACACATTACAAGGGGACCATTTGTCCCCAAATAAATGACTTCACAGGCCACAAAAGTCCTTGAGGAAAAGTGCACATATGATAAATGATATGCGTTGGGAAAAGGGAGGAGGAGGAGCTTATAAGGATAGGGAATTAAAAGGTCCACTATTATGTATAAAATAAGCTACAAGGTATATTACACCAGACAGGAATGTAGCCAATACTTTACAATAACTATAAATGGAGTATAAACTGTAATAATTATGACTCATTATACTGTACATTACATAAGATTAAAGATCAATCTACTCAATTTTTTAAAAGTGATGCTTATAAGGAAAACGCTAATAGAGGCATATGCCAAATCTACACTCACAATAGTTAAAGAAGATGAAGTCAGAAGCATGTTTCAGGGCTGTGGGTAAGTAAAGACGCCTGTCCAGTGACACAAGGCAGGTGAGGCCTTAGTCCAGACACTTGTGATTGGCGTCTATTGAGGCTACATGTGTGTGTGCTCAGAAGCTCGGTCCTGTCTGACCTTTGTGACCCTATGGACATAATCCGCCAGGCTCCTTTCCTCTGTCCATGGGATTGTCCAGGCAAGAATACCAGAGTGGGTTGCCATTTCCTCCTCCAGGGGATCTTCCTGACCCAGGGATCGAACCCCAGTCTCCTTCAGCTCCTGCACTGGCAGGCGGATTCTTTACCACTGAGCCACCTGGGAAGCCCAGTTAGGGCTACACACAGGTGATAAACAAATGAGCTGAGTTTTGTTTTGTTTGTGATATATATGGTTCCTTCTGCTACAGTATCTTGGAACTTACTCATTTCTTGGGAGGCATCCTCTTCTAAAATGAGTTCACACAGATCACAGTAATTTTTCCATGGCCATGAGCGTACAGGTAAGAAACTCTGCCTACCTCAGCATTCTGATTTTTTATCTCCCTCTTTAAGTGAAATCTGGGTGGAAATCCTTGGTGGATATGTGAGACTTCATTGTTAGGAGTCATGCGAAGGATGAAGACACAAAGGCGGGACTTCCCTGGTAGTCGAGTGGTTAGTACTGGGCGATTTCACTTAAGGGGTTCAATCCATATACGGTGGGGAACTAAGATCCGACAAGCCACGTGGCACGGGCAGAAACGAAAGACACAGAGGTAACAGGTGATACTGGAGGATACAATTATCTTTACAGTAACGTGGCAAGAATTGCAACATAGTTTTAAGTAAACATCCAAGTACCTAATTAACTGGGCAAATGACACTGATGTCTCAAGGATAACTTTGAAACACTTCCCTTGCCCCAGTGTAAACCCAAGTACCCACACTGGCTACAGCAATCAATCTCCATTTATAACACATCTCAGGACACCCAGCTGATCTGAAACTGAGCAGGCCAGGGGATGTGATGGGGACGACACCACAGGAGACTTTGGAATACTCCAGAAAAAAAACGGTCCCATGGTGGAGAAGGGGTCCATGAAAGTCAAAATGAGCTCCTACGGTCATGATAGGTCAATTTGGACATTTCCTATTTCGCACTTGGAAGATCTTTCAGAAACGATCCATTACAAACTGGGCCAATGGCACTTTTTAGGTGGCATCCTCAGGTGGGTCTGTACTTTCAGAATTAGACACCTAAATTGAGAAGGGCAACAAGGCAATCAAAAATCAATCAAAATTCAACAGGAGAGCAAAAAATGCCCACTTGAAAATTGGGGTGGAAAATTTGAAAGTTACACAAAAAGAGAAGTTCCGCAAACCTGCTCACATTCCCTGGGGGAATCTTAATCAGCAACTACCTGTTACCCTCCCATCCTGGAACCTTGCCTGTGCGGGGAAAATAGCTCTATACCGCCCCCTAGCGTTGATTGCCTCGCTTCTCAGCCTGAACACCGCAAGGTGAGTGGTGCCTCCACTTCCACTTACTTCCGGAGGCCAACCCTCATAGGGCTAAACATAGCCCAGTCCTCTGCCCACAGATTAGGAAACAACCCAGCTATTTTTAGCATCATGCATCTTAGGAAAAGAAATGGCCCAGTCTCTGACGGCAACAGAATGTGTGTGGCCTGACTTCATGAACCCATTTCTCAGGAGGGTGTGCACCTACTCCAAGAAGTGGCCTAAGAGCCCATGAAAGTTCTGGAGTCTGGTTAAAAGGGATGGTGGCACATGGACCACACGACAAAAATGCCAAGGAAAGGACAGTGACAGGCGCACGTCCTAAAGGGACTCGGGAACATAAGAGATGTCAGGCCAGGCCTGACATGTGTGAGCAGCAGGAGAAGGGACCTGGGGCAGGAAGAGTCAAAAACAGAAGCCAGAAGCCAGGAATAGCATGCATACTCATTTTGAGCAAGTCTGTCCAGTAAGAGGCAATATTTTGAGCTTGACATTTATTTTACATGAGAAAGAACAAAGGTTGGTCTGATCTGTTTCCTGCCAGGGTACAGCTGGTGCTGTGACTTCTTTGATCACTACCGCCCCCCCCCACCCAGTCCTCTGCAGTCCCAGTGATTAGAGATGGATCCCTAGGCTGCCTTTTGATCAGCAGCTCAAGCAGCTTGCAGGTGCCGTGTGCCATCACATCAACAAGTTGTAAGAAGCAGCCACATTAAGTCTAGCTGATGAATGTGATAGCTTGTCTTGCTGCCGGTACAATAAATACACGTAATGGCTACAAAGGTCCCAGGAATCCTTATTTTCTCTCCTTCTGTACTTGAGAACTTTCTGTGCTTTCTTAGAGGTGAACACTTTGGAGAGTTTCAGTACAAAACTAAAGCTTGGAAACGCCCCCAAAACATAGAGAAAATGGTGCTCAGACTTAAAAACACAGCATACACCATTCCAGTCTCCTAAGTATGCTGCTTATGTTCATGTCGCCTGGTTAATGAAGAGACAGCATTCTTGCATTCTGAATAGATGGCACACAAAGCCGTAAAAACATGTACATTTCTTTTCAAATAAAACTAAGAGCCACTGCTTGTAAACAGGGTGTTTAATATTCTAATTTTAGACAGCCTGCATTAACATTGTGGTTTCATGTGCAGTATAAAATTTCTATTTACAAAGTAGTCTCCAAAATGACTTCATAATGGTAGATCAAGAGCAAAAGAGTTTAGAAACTGAATGATGTAAATCATATGGAGTTCAGAGGCTAAGCAAATTACACACCCTGAAGCAGCCCTGGCTTCATGAAAGGAGCCTTTCTCCAGCCCTGTGCAATCCCAGCCCAAGGGAACTTGCATCTGAGAGTTTTCTAAACATTTCAGGTACACTTGAAAGCTGAAAGTAATTCTCATTTCCTATGCAGGATTAAGTCGTTTCCAGCACACACAAAATAGCAGCCACTCACCATCGCATATAAAAACACACCACCAGAAAGGTAAGAGCTTCAGAGTACAAAGGCATATTAAAAAAAAAAAAAAAGCGCAAGAGAAATACATTTTTTAAATACCTCCTAAAAACATCCACACGGCCTCTTGACCTCTTTACTTCCTATCTATTTATTGATTAACTGATGTCTTTCCACTTAGAGCGCTTCAATTAATGAGGTTGATACACGTCCTGGGACAACCCCTCCCCAATCCAAAAAACTCTGAGTAAAGTCAAACACGCCAAGACTCATTCGTGTTGGCTTCGGATTTAGAGGCAGTTCTTGAACTTAGAACTCCGGCAACATGAGTTCTTGCAAGGCACGCTGGCACCGACGTTCCCCAGGGCTCCCCGAACGTCCCCTCTCCGGCTGCGCCCGCAGAGACACTCACGCCGCCGGGCTGGAGCCCCGGCGGCCGCTCCCGAAGTTGCAAACTCCGCGGAACCTCCGAAAGCCGGTGCCTGCGAACACGCGCGGAGGCGTCCGTCCCCGCGCGGGCCGGGGTGCATCCCGCCCGGGTGCACAATGCGGCGCGGGAAGCGAGCGGGAGAAGGAGCTGGGGGGGACTCACCGTTCTGCTCCTTGTTGCTGGCGAGCTGGAGTTTGCTGCTCAGGTTGGACTCAGCCCGGGTCCCAGGTCTCTGGCCGGCCAGGGCGGATGTCAGCAGGAGGAGCCCGAAGAGGAGCATTGGGCTGAGCGGGCGGGCGCGCAGTCGGCGGGCACTGGGGGAGCGGGGCTCCGGGACGGGATCAGCGCCGCCGGGGGAGGGCCGCGCCGGGCGGGACGCGCCGCGCCTGCTCTGGCCGCCGAGCCTCGCGGGGCACTTTCCACATACTCCCATCCAAGACTTTCTCCGAGGGCCCTCTTCTGCGTCTCCAGTTTGTGCCGAGGATCAAAGCAAAACCTGGACCTGAACCAGTTTCCCAAGGTTTAAACAAATCCTGCGCTGTGCCGAGGCGGTGGGGGTGGGGTGGGGGCGAAGGCGAGGGAGGAAAGGGGGGTGGGGACGCGGGGAGCCGGGCGCGCCGAGGAGTCCCTGGCGAGGGGCTGGGAGCACCTGTCAGCCGGGGGACGGCACCCGCAACGGGTTGGGGGTCGCGCGGGGCCGGCCGGCAGCCGGGTCGGCGGCGGGCACTTTCTGATCAATAACAAAGCTGCGGATCGATGCGCTCTCCGGGCGCCGCGGCCGCCCCGCCCCCACCCCGAGGGGGAGGGGAGACCCAGGCGCGGGCGCGGCGCCGGGGCCGGGGGTCCCGAGCGGGGCCGGGGTCCAGGCCGAGGCCGCCCGGGGCCGGGCGCAGGGAGGCCGGGGGACGCGCTCCTCCCCCGGCGCGCGGCGCGGATCCGGCACCTGGATGCGGGTCCCGCGACCAGAGTTCTCGGGGCCGGGCGCCCTCGCCCGGCGCAGCTCGGGAGGTCGGACTGGGGTCGCGCGGGGGGCGCTCGCCGTCCCCTCCCCCGCGCTCTGGCGGCGCGGCGAGTGGGCCCCGGGCGCGCAGCAGGCCGGCGCGAGCTCGCCTGTCCCCTCCCCTTCCCCACCTTCGCGGCGGCGGGGGGGCCCCGGTCCCGCTCGCCGGGGCCGCCGCCGGGCGGTCCGGCAGGTGCCAGCGCTGACGGGGTGCTGGGTGCCCCGGGCCCAGGACGGGGATGCGCCCGAGCGGCCCGAGCTCCCCTCCCCGGACGCCCCGAGCCCCAAATAACGGGCGGGCCGAGCGCTGCGGATGCCGCGGGAGCCAGAAGAAGTGGGAAGAACTTCCTGCCTCTTCCCTCTTCCCCGCCCCTGAGCCAGGACTCCTTGTTCCTTCCCGAGGGATCCCCGTTCCCAAAGGGCTGGGCCGGGACCCTTGGCCAGGGTCTGTGGGGTGGTGGAACGAAGGGACTTCGTTCCCTCCTGTTAACAACTCTCTGAAGAGAGGGGGTGTAAAAACCAAAAGTAAAGACAAACGAAGACAAATGGCCAGAATAATCACATTTATTCATTTAACGAACACTCTGTTCACTGAATGCCTACGGAGGCAGGCACTGTTCTAAGCCTGCAGAAATGAAAACAGATCTAAGTCTCCGGCCTCCTGAAACTTGCCTTAAATTAGGATCAAGCAAGGGACAGGGCAGGCAAAGAAGAAATAGCCTCCAACTGCTTGTGGACAAGTGGATGCAAACTGACAGGATGTACTCGGGTATATTCTCCACCTGGAGTCAGACAGAAGGATGGACCCTTAAGATGTGAGCAGAGATGGTGGTGATGATTTAGTCACTAAGTCATGTTTGACTCATGCGACCCCATGAATTGTGCCCACCAAGTTACTCTGTCCATGGAGTTTCCCGGTCAAGAATACTGGAGTGGGTTGCCATTTCCTTCTACAGGGGATCTTCCCAACTCAGGGATTGAACATGTGTCTCCTGCATTACACGTGGATTCTTTACTGCTGAGCCACCAAGGAAGCCATAAGCTAAAATACCGTGGAGTTTCATTGTTTCTTTTTAAGTAGCTTTGCTTTCTTGCCCTACTAGGCCCTCCATGAGGACTGGGGAGAGCTGCTCTGACAAAGATCCAGGGATGCTCAGATGTCCCCTGGACCAAACTGGGGGCAGACCCTTCCTCAGTCAGGCTGAAAATGTCAGGTCCTCTTCCTAAGCTTGGAAGCCCGCTGAGACCAACCCTCTGGACCCACTTAATATCCTAGTCCTCTTCTTTCTTTCCTTCTTAAAATTCTCCTAAGTTCATCTCCTCTTTCAGAGAAGGCAATGGCAGCCCACTCCAGTACTCTTGTCTGGAGAATCCCATGGACTGAGGGGCCTGGTGGGCTGCAGTCTGTAGGGTCGCACAGAGTCGGACATGACTGAGGCGACTTAGCAGCAGCAGTAGCATCTCCTCTTTGAATCTTTACTCACCTAGACCATCCTTTCATTCTTACTCCTTCACCACTTCTGTATCCAGAGTGCAGGATGTCAAGGCCAGTAAGAAAAGCACAGTCTTTGAAGAAGTTACAGTTTAGCACACAGGCCTTGTCATTGTATTCACTCCAGCAGCTCCTCAAGGCCAGTGTGTATCCATATTTGCGCAATAAATGATAGGTTCCAAGAGTTTTCTGTAGATTTGTGGGAGGGTGAGGGAGTGTTCCCAGTTTTAATGGCTTAATGAGACTCGTTATATAAAAGACATGTTTTATGAACACGTTTTAATCTATTTGTAATAAAATTAATTACTCCCCAATTTGTCTAATTTGGTACATTTAATTTTCTAATCAGGATATTTCTGTTAATAAATAAGGCTGTTATATGTCTATATAGTTGAGTTTGATGACCACCCACATAGTGTGTGTGTGTGTGTGTGTGTGTGTGTGCAAATTCGATCTGTTTGCTTTCATGAGATCATAAGGGTGGGGATTGCCCTTTATTTTGTATCATTTCATATGGGCCAGAAGAGTGCCTGGCCCAAGGGGGTCATAAATAAACACTCTTGACTGACTGGCAGGTTTCTTTATTGAAGTTACTTAAATTTGCCCTAGAATTTCAGTATGGAGGATGTATTTGAAAAGTTACAGATGATCAGGAATAATACTCCAGCTCTGGGTTTCAACTCATCCATATTCTATAGATTGCTTTAAGACTGGCCTTATAAGTAAAGCCAGCTAGGTGCTCCTACAGGACCCCAAACCAGATCAAGTCCGCATCTGCATTGCCTGGGTTCCCTCCAGTGCCCTTGAACTGCTATCTCCCGAACTGTTCTTGCCCTTGGCAAGTTTGTTCTAACACTGTATCCTCCGCCTGTCTTCTACTCTCTTCTGCTTACAAACCCTTCCTAAGAAAGTAGTATTTTTGCATTGAAAGTAGATTTTATATAATCCAGAGTCTGCACAATTACTAAACAATAGATTCTGAATGAATGTGGCTTTGTTTTGGCCTAAAGCATTTTCCTTGAGGAAAGGCATCTGTTCCACCAACCAGGAGAAAATAATTGGGAACATTCTTTGTGGTTTTCATGTTTTCTTAAACATTCAGCAGGCGTGCCCACTCCAGCTGAATGCAGAGTGCTACCTACAAATTCCTGGTGAGGAACATACCAGAAGGTACTGGGTTATGAGCAGTCATAATTTGAGGAGGGAGGGTGGATGTCACTACTAAATTCTTTTTGAAGTGAAATAACATTTAAAGTCAACTATCCATTCAATTAGGCATTTCATACTCAGGAGAGCAGGAACCATGGGGACAAGTTTTTGCTCAGAAAATAAAATATTGCAAATTTCCTTCCTCTCTCTTCTGAATTAATCCTAACACACACACATGTGCAAAATGATATTAAAACTTTTCCTAGAACGTTTCAGTATTTTAGTGGCAGGTGATTTGAACATGAGTTTCTGAAGTTCAGAGCCCTATGATCTACCTAAGTATCCACTACTTTCCAAAATGACTAACTGCCAACACTTCTGTATAGATTTAAATGAGGCTGGGAGCTGAGGGTATCATGAGTAAGCAAAGTAAATGCCCACAGATCACAGCAGGAATAAAGACTGTTCTAGCAGGAAACAAAAGAAATGAAGTAATCTTAGAATCATCCTTTCCTCTCCAGTTTCTCCAACTATCCCACCCAGAGAAACATATGACCATGCTTTCTCTGGCTATTTCAGGATATATTTAGACTCTACTTTTCCAACCTGGAAACATAAAAACACACTTTTCCTTATATTTTGTTGGTCCAGATCAGACACCCTTTACCAGTGTAGCAATGCGATCAGAAAGGCTGGCTTGCCCGAAGCAGATGGCAGGGGGTTGTGTTAGGATCCTGCTCCCGAGGATCCTAAGTCCGACTTTTTGAGGATGGAAAGTCCAGGGGTGGGAAGTTAAAGGTGTGTGATCTAGAGAAACCGTGACAAGGACAGGCCTTGGGGTGGCGCTCTGTGGCCTTCCCACTGCAGTGAAGCTGCTCTTTCCTTTTGGCAGTCATGGTGAAGCATGCAAAGACTCTACAAGATCTCACAAGTGCTGGTCTGACTCAGAACTCAAGGGAGAATGAAGCCAGACACAGCCCCAAAGAGACAGGAGCCCTGATCATCTCAGGGCCACCACAGCCAAAGGTCATTTGCCTGGGAGATGGGAGACCAGGGACCTAGTCTGGCCTTACTGCTGGCAAACAGCACAACCTTAATCTGGAATTCTTCCTGCCCCTTTTCTTTATGGGAGAAAATTGCACTGAATTCTTTGTTTGTATTATAGTATAATTGCTTTAAAATTCTGTTAGTTTCTGCTATACAACAAAGTGAATACGCCATATGTACATGTACAACCCCTCCTTCTAAGGTCCCCTTCGCAGGCCCCTGATCCCACCCCCCTAGGTCATCACAGAGCCCTGAGCTGAGCTCTGTGCTACCCGGCAGGTTCCCACTTGCTGTCTGTTTTACACGTGGTAGTGTATATATGTCAGTGCTACTGTCTCAATTCATCCCCTCCTCACCTCCCCCCAGGAGACACAGAGGACCATTGGATTCTTAACTCCATCCTCTACTTGCTTTAGAATTCTTTAGGATGCAACAGATAATGATGGCGATTCTTTTAAAACTTAACAGTGCTTCTGTGATGATATGGAATTAGGACAAGTTTCCTGGCCTTGACTCAAAGGTGCCTTGGAGGCTGGCAAGAGATGATGAGCAGAGGCTTCTCCCTGAATTTGTCCAGTCAAACACAAAAGTTCTGTTTTATCTGTTGTGATCTTGGTTGGGAAAGAAGAGATCTACTGATAACCAAAAAGAGAGAAGGAAAAAAGGAGTTTGGATATCACTGACTAATGCAAGTATCAGGAATTGTATTGCATTCAAGGAAACAATAAAATATGTGTGGGAGCCATATTTTAATATTTAATATTTGTTTGATATCATGGGAATAACATCAAAAGAGGCCAAGGATTGGTCTCAAGGTAAAGAAAAATACCTATAGTACACAAACAAGTTGTAAATGGTAAGGAAATTCTATTGTCATTAGCCAAGAATGAATGTCCAACCTCCCACTATTCTGTAGAGCTCCATCGGTAGCATCTCTAACAATCATTAAATTGGGGATATATCCCCTAAAAATGAGACCAGCAATCAAACACTGTGCTTGGTCATATACCCGAGTCAATAAATGTCATTTTTTTCTTGCCTGAAGTCATGTGTAGGATAGGAAGGCTTCTGTCCGCATGGTGACAAATCATAGTAAAAGGGTCAAGACATGGCTACAGATCTTCCTTCCTCAGACAGTGACCCCCTTCTTTCCAAGGTCATGAGAGAAGGACCCTCTCACTTTGCAATCATTGTTTCAAGTACAGTCTTTCCTTGGCTGCCAGCCTTTTTAAAAGAGGCCCAGAGCATCAGTACCCGACTTCATGAACATTTAAAAAAGTATTTGTTGATTAGAAGGAAGGAAAATAGAGCTTAACTCATCTAACATTAAAGTAACCTCAATTGCTTTTGAAGTTCAAGATAGTTCAAGGAATTTCCATAACCCTTTTCTATGATGATTATGACTGCTGTCTGTCGTCTTTATCGTCATAGTCAGAAAAGTGCCTGCTCTCTTCTGTTCTAAAGCAGTGCGTGACATTTTAAGGCATTGTTTTATTTTCCAAATATTATTTTTATCAGTTCAGTTGGCTTTGATGCTTTTTGCATCTTCCTGGACCACCTTCACTGCTTGTTCATTGTCCGGATGCTCTTTTACTGGTCTTCCA